AAAAGTTTTCAAAATCTGGATTTTTAAGAGTTTTCAAAATCAGGAGTTTTAAAAGTTTTCAAAATCTGAACTTTTAAAAGCTGTAAATCTGAATTTTTAAAAGTTTTCAAAATCTGAATTTTTAAAAAAGTTTTCAAAATCTGGATTTTTAAGAGTTTTCAAAATCAGGAGTTTTAAAAGTTTTCAAAATCTGAACTTTTAAAAGCTGTAAATCTGAATTTTTAAAAGTTTTCAAAATCTGAATTTTTAAAAAAGTTTTCAAAATCTAGATTTTTAAAAGTTTTAAAAATCTGGATTTTAATTTTTTTTAAACAGTTGAATTTCATATTTCTAAAAAAATCGAATTTTAATTTTTTTTAAAAAAAAAATCTGATTTAAAAAATAATCATCATCAATTGTTATCCACCCTGGGTTGGGTACCTAATTCTTCCCCACCCCACTTCGCAGCCTTCTAACTCTGCCCTCCCATCTTCTTTTCCCTTCCCAAGGTCGCGGCATGGCCGGCCGGGCCAGGGGCGGCTTCGGGGGCCGCGGAAGAGGCCGGGGCCGAGGAAGAGGCACCACTCGCCCGGCGCTGACCAAGGAGCAGTTGGATAACCAGCTGGACGCTTACATGTCGAAAACGAAAGGACACCTGGACGCCGAGCTGGATGCTTACATGGCCCAGACGGACCCGGAAACCAACGATTGAGACTGGGGAAGGGGGACGGGGACCCTTGTTGTTGGGGGGGGGCAACGGGGACGGGGCATAGATTGGTCCTCCGACTCACGGCGACCACCACGAACGCCGCCAAGCTCATCCTGCCGGGGAGGGGCCTGCGAAGCGGGAATTTAGAAAGCCCAGGAGTTTTTCCCTTTGAAATGTTTCCTCGCTCCTGGTTGTGCGGAGGGGAGACCCTTTAATCGGGGTGGGGGTGTCTGAACAGCTCCTGTTGGGTCCCGGTCCTCCGTCCCGGACCCCCCCCAAATCTTTGCCCCGCAGTGGAGGAAGATCGCATGTCTCCCCCTTCCTTCCTCTCCCCCTCTCTTGCCCCCCCGGGGGGGGGGGGGCTTTCCCAACAGGCCACATTGTGACTTGGTGGCTGGGGTCTCAAGCTGGCAGCATCCTCCTTAACACCCCCCACCAGGAGAAAAGTTAAAATTACGCCCCCAAATTTGATTTTTCTAAACCCCAGAAGAAGCCGAGGGGGGTGGTTGTTTTTTTAATGGCGACAAACACGTGTTTTTTTTGGGGGGGGTTGGTTTGCCAAGGAGACGGTCACTCTTCTTCTCTTCCCCCCACTTCATCCTCCTCTCTCTCCCCCCCCCTCCCCGTCGCTATTTGCGGTTTTGTGAACGCCTCCGTTCCGAAAGGCATCTTGTATGTTAACATCCGGGTTTTCTGTAAGGAACAATTCATGGCAGGGAAAATGAAAACTGTGGACTGTGTGTGCCTGTGGTGTGTTTGTGTCTGTGTGTTTTTTTTCTTCTACAAAGAAAAGTTGCTGGGAATTCTGAACAGCTGAATCCACGTTGGGGGGGGGGTTGCTGGCCACCGCCCGCCGAGATACCCCCTCCCATTTTTCCCTTTGAATTTCCTATATATGGCTTCCTTAAATTGTCCCCTATATATATCTCTCTCTCTCAACTTCCGTCGGCAGCTAAATAAACCAGAGTTATCATTCTTATTTCCCCTTCTCACCACAAAGTTTGGCTGCTTCCCTTTTCTGAAATCATGCTCAAAGTTTTGATTAACTTGCATTTCTTTGGGGGGGGGGGCTGAAAAACCAACTTAAGGAAGAAGGGGCGTCCTTCGTGCCCTATCATAGCTGGTTGATTTCGGGCGTCCTGCCGGCGTCTTAACATCTTACATTTTGGAAATGCGACACAAATATTCTCTCGTGTCGATGCGACGACCCTGAGCCCAAATCAGGGTTTGTGTGGCACAATACTTGGGTAGTCACTTTGTGCAAAATTAACAAACCAAGATGTGGGAGGGCGGGGGGGGGAAATAGCCCTTGGGATTCGTGATGGGGAGGGGGGGGGGTCACCCACCTCACTCTTGATTCTTTGTGCCGGGCCGGATTTTATTTCGTTGATCAAATTTATTGGCTGCCCCATTAAACCACCAGGAGGCTGAACGATCGAAAGATAAATAAATATATATGTATATATTAAAAACAACCTCAACAACTGCTACGCTCCAGGTCACAAATGGAGGAATGTTAATGGAATGGGATCAATTTGTTATCGATTTAATTCAAGTTTTGATCTCTAGAAAGGAAAAAAAAAACCTGTTGGCTTTTTGGTTGGAAGCTTCCTGGCTTAATGGGAAGGAGGCGTAGAAAAGAATTCTGGTTTTGCTTTCGTGCACTTAGAAAGTGGAAATTGTGTCAACTCTTTAACCTTATAAGCAAATAAATACGCACAAGTTGGATCCCCGGTTTAAGATTTGGTATAAAATCCCAAGGATTTGGATTTGGATTCAAGTTTTGTTGGGGAGTTTCCCAACTCAATGCAGCTCATTCACAACTGGCTTTCAACAAGAGACTGCCCTCTGGAATGGGGGTACAATCTCCTGCATGGGGGGGGGGGTGTTGGACTAGATGGCCTCCAAGGTCCCTGCCAACTCTTACTCTATTATGGCTGAGCAGGGGGTTGGACTAGATGGCCTCCAAGGTCCCTTCCAACTCTTACTCTATTATGGCTGAGCAGGGGGTTGGACTAGATGGCCTCCAAGGTCC